GCTTGTCTTAACAAAATAATTGATTTTGGAAAAAAAAATTTTGTACAATTTTTTTTTTTTTTTTTTTTTAAATTTTTTGTATATCGAAAATAATTCAGATTTTATTTTTAATTCTGACTATAGTTCTAATATACTTTAAACAAATAATTTCAACTCTGCAATTCAGTTTATATAATTATTATAAATATTAGACAATAATACAATATTTATAATAATCTATTTGAAAACATTCAATATTCCTCGAACGTTTCGTTACGGTACGGGAAGTTCCAGCAATTTGCCTTAAGGCACGATGCCACCCACCCCACTAGTTATCGGCTAATTTTATATTTTATATATCTAACTTTGTTTCAAATTTATCAATCTTTAATAACAATTTAACAATCAAATATGTAATAATTTGGCAAATTTGAATTTTCAAATGTTTAATTTGAAATGATAGACAATTTTTTTTTACATCATGAAAATAATTGTAGTTTACGTTGACTTATGATAAATAATAATATTATAAAAGTAACTATATACTTCATTTGTATTATATTTTATGTTGATTTATTAAAGGATTACTTAGAAACATGTAAATTTTCTTAAAAATAAGCAAAGAATAAATTACCAGAGGTATTATTGTATTTTTTCTTTATTACAACTAGTTTCAAACACGGGGTAAGCTGCAACACCGGACTGTTTCTAGAGCCTTATTAATTGTGAAGTAATGCATAATAGTTATGAAATTACTTTTACTTGATTTGGTAGAGTAATAGTTACAGCATCTGTCTATTCTTATCTCGTAGAAATATAATCATTGGACCTACAAATTAATTAATTTAAGAAAAACTATTTCAACAAGCCCCAAATTTTCAAAATGGAAAAGAATAAGACGGGACACAAAGGTCCAATTTGACTTGAGCAATTATATTGCGAAAACCAAACCAATTATGTTACAACAAATAACATATATCAAATAAACAACCATCTGATTATGTTCAGTAAAGCTCCTAGTCAATTCATATTGCAGAAGTGTGTTTTTTTGCTGTTTGCTGTTTTTCACACATAATTGGGGTAAATTGGAACGACCAGGGACCATTTTGATTTAAAGGGCATTTTATAAAATAATAGCTACATTATTGATAATAACCCTGATCTGATATTTTTTCAGAAATATTCATCGGCAGAGTTAGAACTAGTGGAGTGCATGGCATCGTGCCTAAAGCAAATTGCTGGAACTTTCCGTACCGTAATTAAAAATCTTGGTACGGAATCCAAAAAACATTACACAAAATGTGTACACATTATTAAAATCTCTATAAAATATCTGATAATTTGATGTACATATATGTGCAATTAACATTTTTGACCGCCAAATGACATTTATTTAACTTATTTTTACTGAGAGTCCATAACCGCTGGACCTGCCTTCCCAAAAATTTAATCAGTTTACCATCTTGTCAATAAAAGTAAAATGTTTTTTGAATTATTAAAATCATACGCTCCGTTCTCTTAAAAACTGAGTTTCCGTTTTTGGCACTTTTTGCCCTGTATCTTCGGAACGGGTGGACCTGCTTTCGCCAAGAACTAATCAGCACGTCTCCTTATCAATACGAATAGAATGTTTATTTAATTAATCAAATCGGTTGTTCGGTGTTCCCGAAATCGTCGACAAAAATTTGTATCCGCACACACACACATACGCACACACACATACACACATACATTCATTTTTTCTATGGTATGCCAAAATATTCAGAAACTTTTGAAACGTAAAGATATATAAAAATTTTCATTTTCGATTTTTTTGCGATTACTTTAACTTACGTAGGGTACCCTACGGGCAGTTGATAACGATTTATTTAATTTATATCTTTTAAAATAGCTTATTTTAACCAAATTTAGTTCTTTAAACTAAACCAAAAAACTAACAATGAAGGAAAGTACTTTAAATATGGATTTTCAAACATTGCCGTTTTGCTCCTGATAGCACCGTCGTAAGAATCAAAGTAATGGCTGGTTATACTGGCTTTTTTTGAAATAGAGCTTCTTTAGGCGCGACTAGGGTGTAAATCCGTACAAATGCAACGGAAGTGCGTTACGGCAGATAAGAGTCGATTGCCAATGATTCGTCATTCGCTCTCGATAATATCATTTCTATACAGGTCGATTGTGATTAGTCGTCCTGTATGTGAATAGAGATTTGTGGTTGTATGGGTACCAGCATCAACGTTGTATGCGTACCGATACCAACAAGAAAATCGGCATAGATAAATAAACATTTTAAAGTTACATCGTAGTACTAATCTTGATTTAATGAAAAATGCTTGAATCAGAAGGATATTTTACCCTGTTCCTTAAAAATAATAAAACAAATTAAACATTTGTTCCGCGAACTAAACGTAGGTTTATTGATTAGAAATTATTTCTATATTATTTGTAGTTTCTATAAATCTATTAAAGTTACTAAAATGGAAAATATTTTTAGGCAAGACAGATATTACAGCTGTTCTAAGAATGAGATTATATCGTCAGCGAAAAAGTTAAAAAAATACAAGCAGTCAATGAATGTATATTAATTTTAATTACATGAAGTTCTTCAAACAATTACATGATGAGTGAAGTTGCAAAAACAATATTGGTTTAGGCGTTGTTTAACATAATCCACTGTGCAAACGAATATTATAGAATTTATTAATCAGCAATTACTTCATTTCTCTAATGAAGGTTTATTTCTAAATGCTAATTGCAATGACAAACCGATTATGTCATATTTGTAGTATGACTTTAATTACATTATTGTTTTTAAATTTTATACATATTTTTAATGCTATTATAAATATATAATTTATAATTTATCATTATATAAATGTGTATATGGTTGACACTAATAAATGTGTGCATCACGAGTGTTACCATATTACTAATAAACATTATTTAAAATTGTTATATGATTTATTTATTGTTACTTAACTTAAATTTGCTACTTTGAACAGTAGCAAATAAGTTTTACTTCAATCTCGTGTGATCCTTACGCGCACTCTTTTTTTCCTTCTATTTTGGAATATTGTGATTGAAAAATTGTTAACTTCACGGGTTTTTAAGATATCGGTAGTGGACATTTTTACTCTTTATCATTTGCATCAAGAAACTAAACTACTGCCCTTGTAAAATGTTATGTTTTTGAACCGAATATAATTTCACCAAATATTTACTAAATATTTTTAGAAACTATACTAGGCTATACTACTAGGCAAATATATACACATACATTTTTGTGGAGTATGTGAATTGTGAAGAAAACACAAAATCTCCGATTCCTGTTCTTGGACTAAATCGATAACTTTCCCTATCAGGAAGTTAATCAGCAGTGATAAATGAATGAAGTAGATTATTACTATCAAATAATCTAAATTACAAAATCTAGCAATATTTAAATTAAAAAGTTCAATTATATTAACATGAATTGCCGACGTCTTTATTACTACACAAGTGATGCATTGAATATAAAAACACTTACAATTAATTTGATTTAAAAACTTTCATGCTCTGCTAGTTGAACATATTAAATTTACGGTCACCTGCCCGATGATGCAACGATAATAAAATTTGTCCAGTGTAACATCCAGTAATTTACAGACTCCCTCCAGACCTTCTACTTCTTCGTCGATTTGTCTAAACGTTATGTGAGATACTGTTTCGGTACTATCCTACCACCAGAAAAAACGCGCCAATTTCTACAAAGCGGGAGTTACTGCAATGATGATCTTCTTCGAAGACCACCAGAAATTGTTCTCCATATAAATAGGTGATGCTCTAACCAGGAGAAGTTATAACAAACTCAGTAACGACAGTGTGCATACTATTGTATTATTGTGGTGACTTACTTGAAAATCATCATGAAGATATTTGTGGTATGTAATTAATAGAATTAATTCACAATTATATTATAATCTATCACGCCACTACCGTTATTAAAATATAATTAAAATTTATTAAATTTAAAATATTAATTACAAAGATTTATTATATAATAAAATATGCTTAATGTTTATAACATATATGATCATATATAATCATTAAAAAAGAAGTTAAATTTCAAATGTGAGTAGATATAAAAATCGTAAGAGTTTAATGAATGATTCTCGTAAAAATTTAATATTCTTATTAATTTACCTATGGCCCTATTGAAACGTATCATTAAACATTGTCTATTTATTTTAATGTATTTTTATTTAGTTAGGCCAAACACCACTATATCTTATTAATATTGTGCGAATGGATATCTAAAATATTAAATATATACATGTTCAAACTTGTTATATTATCTGAATATTAAGAAAAAATTTATAACCAAATAATGAAATAAAAAGTTTGAAAAATAATACTTAAAATGAGAATATATCATATTATCAAAAGATAGAATTCAATTTAGCTTTCCACGAAATTAATTATCCAGATTATATAAAAAAGTTAATGCAAAATTTAAGAAAATTACATATCATGTATTAATAACTATTAATACTATTACATATTATATCAAGTACTAATAACTATTAATCTGCTTTTGCTAAAACTTGGTATTTATTCATATGTTTGAGCATAATTTATGGCTCTATTTATGACCCAATTAATTAATTAATTATACAATTCGAATATACTAAATAGGCAATTTATATGCATATATATATATATATATATATATATATACGATATATATATCGTATATATATATATATATATATATATATATATATATATATAAGTTAATTCAGGCGCCAATTAAAAAAAACTGAACAATGAAAAGATCACAGATAATCCACGCGTTTCGGTATATATTTCAATTTGTTTTATGCCAATGATTTATTACTTGAACTGTATTATAAGTTTAGTAATAATAATAGTTTTTCAAGTATTTCTATAAAAAATTATTATAAATACCACATTCAAACTTTGAAATTTTCACGGCTGTTATAGATGCACAAGAATTCAATAAATTTGTCATTTTTAATTACCAAAAACTCTAATTGGTGTAATGCTTGATCTAATCGTTCATAAATATTCATTATGTTTTATTTGATCTTGGTTAATAGTAGGATTTTAGATGGCTTCGCAATATTTACTTTCTACATATTATATTTTAATTCATTCATATTTTTACTAAAATTATTTATGTTTAGTTTAAATTGATAGTCAACATTTTACTAGTGTATTATTTTTATTCTATTTTTTGCTATATACATATATTTATATATATATATATATATAAATATATATATATATATATATATATATATATATATATACTATAATAGGTAGTACAGTCCTAAGGCAGGTTCGTGAGCTGAGTTAAGCTCCAACTCGATTCAGAAATGATTATTTCTCATTGCCATTTCACACCGCAGTGCCCGAGATATAGAATAAGATATTTTCTATTAGCTATTTTTGCTCTATATTTTCAAGTGAAAATTGATATCACTACTGCGTGATTCGAACACTAGACAGCGTGCTTGTAGTAATTGCTATTGAAGTATTTTTTATACCTGGGTAAATACGTTATAGCCTCATGTTGCTATTAATTGCTTAAAACCATTTGGCAAGATTTCAAGTTGTTACTGCCCAAAAACTATAGTAATATCTCCAAAAATGTCAAATTCATCCATCTGATAATTTATTGTATTTTCCATAAAAAATCAAATGCAATATTAAGCCATTCTGCATTCTTAACATGTTTGCATCATATCGCATTTGAATATGACAATATTTCAACAAATCGCTAAAAATCCGAATCACTTGGTATTGCTCAATTCGTCTGATTTTGTTAAATCAACGTTTATAATTGGGTTCATCATTTCCAAATAACCACGCTGTGAAGTAATGAAAATTAAACCAGTTACAGACCACACGTATTAGATGGGTCATTATAAGTTATGCAATCGAATAATGATAAAAAACTTTTAACATCCATTAGATGCGCAAGAATTTAGATTGTGATTGCTGTTAATCTGATTATATCGAAACATCATTGGTGTATGTAATACAAACAGATTGAGCAAAGAAAATGAAATGGTTTAGAGACGGCACTTACTTTTGTTGATGAACCACTTTCACTGCATTAGCTCATAGCCGCCTGAGCTACTCGTCGACGATGGTCGTCCGTCGTCCGTGTTGTGTTGTTACTGATCGGTTGCTTATATTATACATTATGTCTAAACACCTTGCTTATTGTGATCGGTGTCGAAAGTCACGCATAATTATTCAATCAATTTCAAATCGATAATGGGCCTCTATTACATTATACGTCCATAACGCACTATGGAAAGCTTACCATCTGCATATGATAAAAACAATTCCTCATAAACATTTGCTAACGCACAAGCCTTTTTCTTATAGTAGCTTACCTGTTAATTTCTCTTAGGGTAAGTTATACCAATAGAAATTAAAATTTGAAAATGAAAATTTCTTTTATGTGTTTACGTTTCAAAGGTCTCTGAACATTTTGGCATATTTTAGAATCAGTGGATGTGTGTTTTCGGATACGAGTTTTCGTCAACGATTTTGTTAGCACGGATCAACTGATTTGAGTATTTAAAAAAAATCATTCGATTCGTATTCATGAGGAGCAGTGCTGCTGCTGATTAGTTTTTGGCAAAGACACGTCTAGCCGTTTCAAAGATACGGGGCAAAATGTTCCAAAAATTGCAATTTGATTTTTGAGATAACATAAAGATCCGATTTAAATTATTCAAAAACTAGTTGGTATTGGTATTTCGCCTTGAGGCAAGTTACATGAACTTCCCGATATGTGTAAATAATCGACATAATCAATAAAAAATAAATTAATTTATGAGTAACTAAAGTATTCCGAGTGAATTTATTACATATAATTGAAAACACGTTAACTCGGAGTATTTTCTAAAAGCAAATTTTCAAAAATCAACGATTTTTATATTTGAACCAGTTTCCTTTGATGAATTTTTAAAATTAAACGACTTGTCGTGAGGCCGTAAAATTTTAGTAAGTTCTATAAGACCATGATATACATCGCCAAAAAAAGTTCAATAGAAATCAGTTTAAATTTTATTTCAACAGTTAATTACAAAAAAAAACGGCTCGGTAGATTTTCTCCTAAAACTAACCAGTATCATTCCCAAATAATATTTTTCGAACAGCTTTTGATTTTGTTAAAATCGATTCGGTAGTATGAGCTTAAATGTGGGCGAAAAGTTTAACACTTTTTTTCAAATTACAAAGAATGGCCTAATTTTGACAAATGCCAAAAAAATGATACCAATTTTTGCAAACTTTTGACGAGTTTTTAAAGTTAAAGCAATTGTCGTAGGGCCGTAATATTTTAGTATGATCTAGAAGACTATGGTATGTACCGATCTAGAAGACTATGGTATGTACCGTCAAAAAAATAATAATAAAATCGTCGAAAAATTTTTTTTAACACTTTATTACAAGAAAACGGCTCAGCCGATCTTTACCAAAAACTAATCAGCGTGATTCCCAACGTCCATATCTTACAAACGTTTTTGAATTTCATAATCGATTCAGAATTGCGGGCTAAAACGTGGACGAAAATTTTTCACTTTCTGCTATTATAAAGAAACGTCTGAATAAAAAAGCTAAAAGTGCGATCAATGTTCATCCCTTACATTGCAACACGGTGCTTACGCGATTCTATATTGTTTGTCTCTAAAACAGCCTCCGCAGCGCGATTGCTAAAAAACCTCAAAATTTTCAAAAAAATCAAACTGCAAAAACATTTTAGGTTTTTTTCAAAAAAGTTAATAGAAGCTTTTGTCAAAATTTTAATTTTTGCTACGGGAAGCATTTGCCATGCATCACTAGTATATAAATCCAATTGTTTGAATAAACCCGTCAAGTATTCTGCAGGTAATTGAAATGAGAAAGTATTTAAAATCGATGTTTTAATTGACGCATACAACTGTATAAGTGAATTTATGAGTTTACAACGACGGGAAACTTTAGATTTTTTTGTCAAATAATTATTTATAAATCATTATAAATTAATGATTGAAAACATTTTGAATGTAAATTTAGGTGTTTTTTGTTCCAAACTTAGTACTAGAAAGCAATCTGAAAAGGTCTTTGAAGAGGTCATTGAATTTCTAAACTTCTTTCTGCCAAGTTTAATTAGACATACAATTAAATTTTGTACTTACATACTTAAAATTGATTCAGTAATTTTGAGTAAGCAAATTAATGGAAATAAAAAACAACAGTAGAATCTTGTCTAAAAGTCTTGCATCTAAAAGCTAATTAAATAGTTTTATTAGTTTTCAAATTATTAACAATAGTTTTTAACAAAAGTCAACCGTAGAAGATTTCGTAGAATGGTTATCGATCAAATTATATATTACAATAAATATCTGTCTCATATAAATTTTGATTTTAAATTTATTACCAAATATAAATTAAACAAATTTAATTAATACTTATGAAGCTGTAACAAGATTTCTTTTCTAAAAATTAATTTAATATTGCATTTAGATAAATGCTTATATACACAAATAATTTAGATTTTCTTTTAGTTCTAGTCAGTTATATTTAATGTTATAGTACGCATAAAATACCTATTTATATTGGAAAATAATTTAAGAAATATGCTTCATATGCTCTCCAGCATCCTAATTTTTATTCATGTTTCTATATTTCCAATTATCGATACTTTTTTACAATTCAAAATATTAGTAACTACGTGAGAAGAACGTAAGAATACTCGTATGCCATTAATCATAAAACGTGTTCAAATTAATGAATATGTTAATCAATTGTCCATATTTCTCTATGAGCACTTTTACTATTATCTATTTGCTTAATGAAAGAATAAAGTCATGCATAACAATATGAATAGATATGTTAATAATTGCTTAGGTTGTTATGTGATCATAAAAAAAAAACAAATAAATATATGTTTTATCGATTGAGATGCCGGGGTTCATATATCAAGCAGTAGTAATACCAGTATTCTTTACAACTAAATCTAAGAAAGGTCAATTGTTGAAATACCTTCCAAAAATAAGATTAAAAAAATCGCACCGAAATCATTCTGATTTTTGGTCAAACAAACAAAGATGTATTATTTATTAATAAATATTCTAATCAATGTGCTTTTTAACTTTACGTAGGGCAGCGTCCAAAAATCTAAAATGAAAATTTTTGCTTATCTTTGCGTTTCAGAGGTTTTGAAACATTTTGTAATTTCTTAAAAAAAATGAGTGTATGTATATGCTTGTGTATGTATGTGTAGATACATATTTTCATCCACAATTTCGGGCACACGAATCAAGCGACTTGATTAATTCAACATTCGATTCATATTAACATGGAGATATACGGATTAATTTTTTGCAAAGGCACTTCCAACTGTTTTGGAGGTACAGAGCAAAAACCGCAAAAATAGCAGTTATTAGGATTATAGATCATCTGATTAGAATAGTTGAAAAAAAAATTTTGTTTGTGTTGACAGTGTGAAGAAATGATTAGTTTTTGGGAGAAGCAAACGAATTTTTTTATACACAAAAAAATTTAGTTTTTAAAAAAATATTTTTGTTTAGAATATCGTAAATGATTCGGATTTTAATTTTAATTCTGTCTAAAATTTTAAAGCTTACTCATATACGTGAAATAAATAATTTTAACTTTGCAATTTAGTTTTACGTAAGTATATAATTCTTAGAAATATATGATAAGGTCTTTAAATCTAACTTCGCTTGATTAAGTTTTTTTAAAATTTTATTTAAATATGTTTGGCGTCCCCTGACATATAGCCAGAAGTGATCTCAGCAAACATGATCATTTTTTGTTATATTTGTCATTAAAAATATTGTTCTGATCTTAAAAAGTTTAATGTTCATATTTTCTCATCGGATTGAATATTGATCAAAGTCAAATCATGTTTTTAATTATTTATAAAGTAAATATATAGTCCAACTAACTATATATGTATAAACGTTGTAGTACAATTGATAAACTCTTCTATTTTTCTATAAATTACAAATAATGAAAGTTACAGTATTTATAATAATCTATTTGG